CTCTGGGCCTGGGCGCTGTCCCTCAGCTCTTCAGCTCAAGGCTAGCACTCTACCACTTGAGCCACAGCACCACTTCCGGCTTTTTCTTTTTGCTTATGTGGTGCTGAGGAATCGAACCCAGGGCCTTGAGCATGCAAGGCAAGCTCTCTACCACTGAGCCACCTTCCCAGCCCCATGAGTACATTTCTTATACAGCATTGTTGCCTCCTCTTTTGTTTTTCCCCTACCATCCCTACCCTCCCACCTCCTCAGCTATATCCCCCTATCCCCCACTCCCATCCCTCCACCCCCCTACCTAAATTGTAAAGTTCATTTTTCAACATAGATTTTTTTTCTTCCTTGCTATTGTTTCTAACGTATTTATAAGGTACCATGTAATTTTTTTGTTGCTTTGTATGTCCTCTCCCATGGTATAACCCCTATTTTCACAGTATTTGATGTTGGTATAATTGGGGGAGGGGAAGGGAAAAAAACAAATTGTTTAACTAGAGATACAGATTGACCCACTGTAACATTGAAATGTTCAAGATGCTATGTTTTCTTACTTTATAAATAGACCTACAACATTTAAAGTCTTTCTGCATAAAATAATCAAACCTACACAATTTAAATTTATTTCAGTTGAAAAACTTCTGTCAAATAATATTCGAGATTTGGCCATTAGGACTCATAAAATATGTCCACATGTCAAGTTAAATCCAATGAAATAATCTCTAAAAGTATGTTCAAATGAATTACCTTAAAATTATTCTTAACTATAAGCTGTCTTTTGTCTTGAGGTTTAAATTTTTGATCAATGGTAATTACTCATTAATGGTTGCAAGCTGTGACCTTAGCCAAATCTCAATCACTCAGGAGCATGTCTGATACCCTTCCCACATTTCTTCAGTAATGGCCACTCATTACATCTAAATTAACGGATAATTAGAGGAGAAACAAATCCATTTTGTAGTAAGTTAGCAACAAATAAAATATTGAGAAGAAACCTAACATAGCACTAAGAACGATCTACACTGACACCACCACAAGCTAATAAGGCCCTGTTTCAAAAGGGGTGTGGCCTCTGATCACCTGCCAAAGGGCAACCAAACAGTATGGCTCATACTTCATGGACGGCCTTTCTCCTCCTCTGGTGACTGTTACAGATTGCAGACAGGCCTTAGTTGAGTGGTGAAAACATGACAAGTCAATTAAAAGGAAGGACTTTCCTTGTACTAAGCAGTCACCTAAGACAACTCCTTATGAATTGAGACTAGCATTCTAAGAAAAACAGTACATGGCATGAGGAATTCATTCCAAAGCCTCAAAATGTTGTCTCAGTTTTCCTCACACAAGTCTTTCCTACTATCTAGAATACAAATGCAGCAAATAGTATCACTTGTCTTTCCCTCCCAAAGAATGTATGCTCCTCTATCTTTCTTGCTGGGGGTGATTTGTTTCAATAATCTCCCCTAAATAGGTTTATTTTACCTTCAATTACTGTGAAAACTCTTTCCTAACACTTTGGTTCACATAATCCTCAGATATAATGTTAGCAAAATACAGGAATGTTCTTTTAAAGAATACTTTTAAACTGTTGGATAGGAATGTGGATGTCTTTATGAGAGCTTTCTTTGGCAGTGAAGCAAGAGAAATCAGTAAGCTTGATTCACAACTTTTTAATATACCTGCAATTACACTGACCATTGTCTGTGCAAAATTTAAGGATAATCAACTTTCTATTATCTTATTTATGGATATTAGGTTAAAGGACATTTGAAGTATTTCCTTAAGAAAGATAAAGTCCTATCAGAAATTCTAGACAATGTGTCAGTTCTATAATACAACATATCTTGTTCAAGTTTCTTCCAGAGTTTCTTCTTTACTTTTAAAATGAAGTTCAAAAAATTAGGTACTTTCATTTTAAAAATTGTTCAAAATGTAATATATGTTATTGGTACTTAGTTATAAATGACATAAAAGGCTTTTTGGAGGAAAAAAACAAGGCAAATAATGATAGACATAGGTTTACTGTTTTAGAATTTAAGAATTAAATTTCAGTCATACTTATGATGATTTTTACATTTCCATGGGCAAGACCAAACTGATATGGAAGGACTAAGAGGAGCTCTGCTTCTTAAAGTTACAATGTTCCTTTATAGCAAGACAGTGTTACAAAGAAGTCTTTAGTTAGATGAAATAATGCATGTAGCAAGAATCTGATCTTTACCCTTGTTATCCATATGGATGGCAAACCAGCCATAAAGAGCTGTACACCTGGCAAGGATTAACATATTGTTGTAGGCAAATTTAATATAAGGAATGAGTTGGTAGGTAAATCTCTAACTCATAACCAATGAGACAACAGAAAGGAACACAGACAGCAAGGATCAAGACATCTGCCACGTAGACCTACACCAAATGTTCCATCTTCCTGGAACTCTATCTGTACAAAATGAGGCAGTTGGGTAACTGCTGAACAGCTTGCTTACACTGTAAACTCATGCAGTTCTACAAGTCCACCAGCATACCCTTCCTTACACAGGCAGCCTAAGAAGAACAAGACAAGCTTTAAAAGGAGGGTCTTCCCAAGATGTGTGTGAAAGGCAAGATTCAATTTCTGGGGCCTGCATAATGATTTCAGTAGCCCCTACCCCAAGTTTCATACAGCAGCAGCAGCAGCAACAGCAATCAACTATACTACTCTCACTGAAGCCACTGCAAAAGCCTCTGCCTACCAATTTGGTATACCAATTTGCTGTCAGAGACAGTATCTCTCATTCCCTCTATCCCTGTCACCAACTCCACAACTGTATACATAGCAACTTTCAGGCCAGATCCTATTACTGAATGTACAAATATCAATAGTCTTCTGTAATTTTATAATTACTGATTATTTGAAAAACTTCCCTAATTAAAGAGAAGTCACTAAATTTGGAAAGAAATTTATTGAGAACTTAAGATATGCTAGCTAAAAATAAAGTTAATACTTTTTAAAATTACATACAAAAGCTTACCATGTATGCTATCTCTAAACTTTATGAATTTACATATGTAATTACATATGGCAACTGATTCAATGGCAATCCTTAAATGTATTCTCCCTTTGCAATGACCAAGAGACTTAGCCTGTGTTGTTATATGCAGATGGAAAAACTGGAACAGAGAACTCTTCAAGTTACCACAGTTCCTACTACGACAGGTACTACTTCCTTCTAAGGTGTTCTTCCCATGCCCTGCAATGTTACTGCTTTTTGTATGTGCCAATTTGGGGACTTGAGAGCCTGGGCATTGTTTCTAAGCTTCTTTGCTGGAGGCTAGCACTCTATCACTTGAGCCAAAGCTCCAACTTCTGCCTTTTTGGTTGTTTGAGATAAATGTCTCATGGATTTTCCTGCCGGACTGGCTTTGAACTGCAATCCTCAGATGTCAGCCTCCTGATTACAGGAATGAGCCACTTGTGCCTGCCTGGCTGTTACTGCTATTTTAAAAATGTAGATATATATATATATATATATATATATATATATACACACACACATATACATAGATATACATAGTGATATGATACATATATCACTAAACTTTCTTTTACTGATCACTACATGTTTATAAATCTGATAGCTGCTCATGGACAAAACCTTTCACAATTTTCTCTACTGCAAAAATTGCTACTCAGGGTGCAATAGTGCTGTGTTCTGACCCAACAAGAATCCTTGCCTTATAGACAATGACATTGCACCACCCCACAGGTAAGCCAATAAGCAGTAAGGAAAGAGTGACTCAGCAGTGGATCTGCTTTTCCTTAGGCCAAATTGGCAGAATTTTCTTGCCTTTAAAAAGTGAGATGCAGAGAAAGAAGAACCCTACTGCATTGCTGGTGGGAATGTATAGTAATATAACCACTTTGGAAAGTAGTCTGGAGCTACCTCAGAAAGCTACATATAGACTTCCCCTATGACCCAGCCATCTCACTCCTAGGCATCTACCCTGAACAACAGGAACCAGGATACAAGGACACATACACCTCCATGTTTATTGCAGCACTGTTCACAATAGCCAAGATATGTAAACAACCCAGATGCCCTATTACTGATAAGTGGATCCAAAAATTGTGGTACCAATATACAATGGAATATTATGTACCCATTAAAAAGGACAAAATAATGGCATTTTCAGGGAAATAGATGGAACTAGAGCAAATCATTTTGAGTGAGGTAAGCCAAGAACAAAGAGACAAATGGCACATGGTCTCCCTGGTATGTGGATGCTAAAGCCAAAATTGCAAGTTGATATGACAAAGTAAACAGGACTCGAGAAACAAAGGACAGCCACTCATTTTGTCATATCATTGCTAAATGAATCCATGTTCCTGACCATATATATGGCATATAAATGCACACAACAGAGGAAAGCAAGGAGGAGAACACAGAATAAGTGGGAGATGGGGAACAACATACAACAAAGGGACCCATCAGCTGGACTGAACATGGATGAAAAAGAACTAAGCAACTCAAAGATAGCGATGGGAAGAGAGGAATGAGAGGGTAAGAGGGAACAGCTTACACTAAGCAAAAGGATAGAAATGTAAATATCACCTGATGTGGAAGAAATAATCGGAATGTCAAAGATCACAGAATTCACAAACTTTATAGACCCTGATAATGACATTTTGCCTTGTGAAGGTAAAAATGTGTTTGTGACTTTAACTAAGTATCACTATTCCACAATACTGTGAAATATGTGAAATTTACATAATCACCTAATCTCAACTAAAAAAAAAAAAGAAAAGTGAGATAAGGGATGGATTAGGAATGATGGGTGACAATGTTGTCAGACACCTTGTATTCATACACTGTTTTGTAAAATGGGAACTTCTTTGTACAATTACTTAGAGATAATAATAACAAAAGAAATGTTTTTTAAAAAGTGAGTACCCAATAACTAGTTGTAATGTATTAGTATTCTGAAGAATCCTGATGTCCTACACAAAACTCCCTTAAACTGCTATTTCTCTTCACTTTCACCATTTCATCAGTCTCCTAATTTTCCCCAAATGAACTTTAAGACTTATACTACAAATTCAGTAATACCAAACACATATCTGTAAAGTATCAAAATTCTTTAAATTTTACCTTATGTAACGTTTTTGGTCATGTAAGGTTGAGGGAGTCTCAAGCAATTTATCCAGAAGTAATTCTCGTAAAGCTTCAATTCGTGTTTCTACTTCGGCATAATCTATTTTTCCAAAAAAGAATATATAAGATTTACAGAATTGAAATTCTAAATCAAATTTCAGAAAGCAAAACAGAGATTACTTTTTGAAAAGAGACACAAATACACCATCATGTCTATGTATGTAGACTATGCATTCATCAGAATTCAATGACCTGTAACATGTAAGGTCTGTGCATTTCATTGCATATACATTTTATCACAGTAAAGAAATAAATTATGTGTCTGCTTCCTTATGGGTTTCATTTTTTAATAAGCTTTGTTATATTTCTCCTGGTTGATAATGTTTTAGCTACAAGGCATGTTAAACTTCTTTTACTTTCTGTAACTCTGTTATTAGAATTAAGTTACTGGGTCTCTCTGCAGGTTTTCATGTCCTTAGAAGACTGTTGTTGTTTCTTTACAATGAAAAAGGAAAGATTTTTTTTTAATTGCATCATTGTTAATGACCACCACAGAATGAGAATGACCAAGCATTATAATCAGTCATTTTCACTACATTTCAGGAAGAAACCCATGTTACTTTTGAAGTAATTGTTTTACATTTTAAAGAGAATACCATATAAACAAAATCCAAAATACACATAACATTCTTTACAGAACACATTCCACATTCTTCCTGTAAAAGCAAAGTAGAAGATCTAAGAGCAATAAACAAATCTTACATTTCTTGAAAACTTGCACCTCTGTTTTCCCAAAGAGTGACTTGGCTTTTTCATAATCATTAATAACCACATCATAATCACCCTTTAAAATAAAAAAACATTTTAGAGACTGTCAGTAAAGCATAATGAGTATTTGGTTAATAATAAAAATGACCTTAACAAATCTTCAAGATCTATAACATTTACCATTGTATGGACATAAATAAGTACTTTACCTTTTGAATATTCCTTTCAATATTCAGAGGTAAGTTGAAGAGAAACTTAAATCGCTGAAGTACATTGAGTGCATTTCTAGTGGAATCTGCCTTGTCCTTTCGACCTAGCACTTCTTGAAATAATGCATCAGCAGTATTACTTGCTCCTATTTTAAAAGGAAAAGATGAAACTTAGATAAAAGCTTATTTTAACCAGAAAATGTGTTAGATTTCTATTATGACTTTCCATTAACTCAATGGATTGTGTGTTAAAAGTTAGCTAGATGTTTCATTTTGCCTGCTATGCTACAAATGCTATCCTATTAGAAACAATCATATTCACCATGTCCAAATAAATTCTACACTGTGAACCTACATTTATTTTGCTTTTCTAAATTTTATAGTAATATATGGGACCTTTAGGTTATTTTATTACTTCAGATAATAAGAGGTAAAACATATGCATATGCATGTTTGTATACACACATACACTAGTAAAATTCCACAGATCCAGTATCTTCAGATGGAATAGCAAACAAAATAGAAAAAACAAACATTTTCAGAAAAAAAACGTTCAAAAAATATTTTAAAAGTAACCCTACTCCTTGATAGAAGTATCTTCAAATCATTAATGTTTCTTAAATCAGTTCTGGCAAAATTATAAATAAATAGGACATTTCATAAATGTTTTTTCCTAAAAGACTTCAAATTATACATATCACTGTAATAAGAGTTGGTTTATCTAAAGCAAATTTTGCTACGTTCAAAAACAGTTTAAATTCTGCAACTTGTGAAGTATTTTTAATTAGCTACTAAGAAAGGAGAGAGAAAGGATAAACTGTTTTTAGCTGTTTGATCACTGCTTGTAAAATGTTTCTACATTATCTGGTCTAGTGACTATACTTTAAGCAAAGATGAAAAAATTACCTCAGTCTCACTGGGTGGCTTGTACACCACATCCGCTGGTCCACACTGTGGGTGGCCTGATCGTGTTAAAAGCGTCTTTGTAACATGATTGTTTTATCTAAATAATGTTTAAGTTCTGTCGAAATTTTAAAGGCCTGATATAAAAACTTTGTTTGGTCAAGATAGCTGTTTTCACCACATTCTATTTCATGTAGAATACTAAATTTCTATTACAAGATGAAGAAAAATATATTTCCTTCCTACCACCACGCCACATAATATAGGCTAAATGAATATCTAAAATCTGAAGAGAGTTAAAGATTTCTTTCCTCAAGGAAAATTACTTTAAAGTACCTATCATTTTTTAAAAAGTCAACTTTATGAGTTGAGGCTTCATAAATGAATTAAATCTTTTAATATGTGACACTTAGGTGTTAAATCACCAAATGTTTCTTTAGTTTCTTTAGTTAATATAATGAAAGCAAACAGTATGAGTTCAAAATTAGTTCTTTTCTCACCTTATTTTTTAAAGTAATAAAAATTACAAATTAATATTTTAACTACTCTAAAATGTGTGAAAGTAACTAAAAGAGAAACTTTATTTAGAATTAAATAAAATACAAACATTCCACAGAAAAAATTGTAGGTAGAAATTACTAAACACAAAATTCTAATTTAATTTATATAGAAATATACTTTTATATATTGAGAATTTTAATTTATGCAATATTGAGAAATTATATAAGCAATTCCTGTCAATAAATTATTATCCTGTTGTGAATTTTATTGCATTCACAATAAAACTAGTTCATAACTGATAACTAGATGATATATCCAGTAATAACAGGGAAATCAAGATTTGCATAGCAGATAAAAATCACCAAGCAGCTCACAAAGGCACCCTGTCTTTTTTCTCTTTTGCTGCTAATAAAGAAACAAAACTGCTACAGGGACGAATACTCTTCCATGTGGGGCTGAAAGCAAAGATAAGGCTATCAGCCAGCATCCAATTATCAGGTATAAATTCCCACGTGTGCCTCCTCGTACTCTTACACCAAGGACAATTGTAGAGCAGCTGGCAGTGTGGAAGAGAAAGGAGAGAAGAGAGAAGAGAGGAGAGGAGAGGAGAGAAGAAGAGAAGAGAAGAAGAAGAGATCAAAGTCTGTTATCTGTGTCTCCATTTGAAGATTCTATAAAATGACTAGGTAGGCTATTATGCTATTATATGAATTATATCATAAGCACTATTTATAATGCTTGTTTACACCATCATGCCTGACACTGGAAACCTATAGTTCTACATAAAATACACAGAGCTGGAATTTAAAGATGAGAAAATAGCTGAAGTCAGGCTCTTTCACAGATTTACTGATAGTTCTTGACCTTGTTATTATAATATTATACATAGTACCACTTGGAATAAATCACATGATCTTATTACTTCAACTACCATCTCTATGCTGGTGATTTCCAAATCTGTATTTCAAGATGTGTCTATGAGCTTAAAACTAGTACTTAGAAGTAATTTCACTAGACATACAGTAACAAGAGCTAACACACTGAGCACTCACTTCATGTTAGGTGCTATTCCAAAGACTTTATGTGTATGTCCCTTTAAGACAGGCACTGTTTTACTCCAATTTCATAGTAGAAGCAACTGACATACAGGCTACTCTAACTTGCTATGCAACACAGAAAGGAAGTAGTGAGATCCAGAAAGATACTTAAGTGATACGGCCCCAAGGAATCTTAGCCTTTCTTCTCTACTCCTCTCTTCATACAACAAACCTGCTCCTCCTTACTCCATTTGAGGTCAAAAATCCACTTCCTTTTTCTTACTTTGTATATCCAACCAGTGACCAAATACTGCCATCTTCACCCCTTTAATGTTCTTCCTCTGCTAGTCTCTCTACCTTCCTGTCATTCTGGCTTATATTAGTGCTGCCTACTCTATCACCTCTGTGCCTAGATGGTGGAGTGCACCTTAAAACTATCATTACATCACTCCCTTACTAAATTCCTACAGTGCACCTTGTGCCCTCTCTGAGGTAACTGTCTTCTTCCTCACACAGCAGGACACATACATATCTGTCCATTCACACTGGCCATCAGCCAATCTCTGCTTATCTGGCTACATTGTACAACCTTTTTAAAGTGCACATTACTATCCCATTATTATTTCCATCCACTTTTTCTTGTTTGTTTGATGGTGTTGGGTTTGGAATCTGGACTGCACACTTGCTAAAGCAAGCACTTTGCTCTTGAGCTAAATTCCTAGTCCCTTCCTTTTCAGTAAGGTGCCTCTTCTGTGGGAACTAGGTACATCGTAGGACTACCAATAGAACAATATGCATGAATTTTAGCTATTATTCCCACAACTGAACTATCTGCCTCTATACTATCTAACCTTGGAGCTTCTAGCCACCTTCTGCAACAGAAATCTAAAGATAATGCTATAGTATAGATCTGGAGTGACCCCAAAAAGCTCATGTTGTAAACTTGGTCCCTAACCTGTAGTACAATCGGGAGTTGTGGAACCTTTCAGTTAGTAGGGTCTGGCAGAAGGAAGTTAGAACATTAGAGAGCATGTCTTTAAAGGTGATAGGAGGAATCCCAAGCCCTTCCTTTCTCTTTTTGCTTGCCAGTTACCATGAGGTGAGCAGCTTTGTGCACCATGTGTTCTAACTTAACACAGGGCACAAAACAATTGGGAGCTGAAATCATGAACCAAAATAAGTCTTCCTTCTTTTTAAGTTGATGTTCTCAGGTACTTTGTCATAGCAACAGAAATTTGACTAACAGAGTTAAATTAATTTAAAAAGTATAATTTTAAAATTTGAAGTTGGTGAGATAGCTCAGTGGTGGATAACATGCCCAGCAAACACAACACTCATCAACACTTGGAAAAAAATTCAGTTCCTCAGTTATCCTTGCCACATCTGAAGCACTCTATAGCTACACTTCATCAGTCCAGAGGTCTAGTAGATAGCACTGTTCTATATATTCTATTTAAAATAGGTAAGGACATAGCATTCTTACCTATTTGAGTTTGATATACACCATCAGTAATATTACCGTATTATACTGTTACATAATTATCATATTTTGTATATTGCTATATGTTATATGTATGATAATATTAATAATAGCAAGACTTATTAGTAGCTTGAAATCAAGAATGAACTATTATGTTTAAGGGAAATCATGTATTAGCTACTTTTCTTGTAACTGGTGATCAAATACCCCACAGAAACAGCTTATAAGACAGGAAGGGGACACAGGAAGGGTACAATACAGTCCCAAGCACATGACCCCAGTGACTTACTTTTACTGACTAGGCTTCACTTCCTAACTTTCGCTACCTCCCCAAATGCCAGGATATTATTAATACAAGAGGTTAATCCATTTATTACATCAGAATCCTCATGTCTCTAGTAATATCTGATCCAATTCTCTTAGTCTTTAGGAATAATACCTAATACACTTATAAAAGACACCCTAAAACAAAAAGATTCTAAAGAAAAAGACAAAGTCAATCTCAGAGGTATGATTTACTAATCTTCTACTAATCTCTTAGACTTTTCTTAATCCAGTAAAGCTAACAATCATATTTAACATATAAAAATGTAAGTCAAAGAAAACAAAAAAAACTATTTCAATAAAAAGTATCAGTATTAAGAAGATCAATACTGATAAACTGTGAATAAGACAAATAAGCAAAGATTTTTAAGGCCAACATTATTGTCTTTTAGAAACTTAGCTTAAAATTGTAAGACTGCCTAAATAAAAAATTCATTTCAAAAACTAAATTTGATGTAATCACTTAATCACAATTTAAAAAAAAAAAAAGAACCCTGGGGAAGGTAGGGAGGGAAGGGATGGTAGGGGGAAAACAATGGAGGGGATAACAATGCTCAATAAGAAGTGTACTCATTACCTTACTCATGTAACTGTAACCCTCTGTATAGTATATTTACAATAAAAAATTTTAAAAAAACTAAACTTGATTTAAAATAGTATATTCATATAGCTAAGGTAAAAGCATTATTAATAACCTAGACAAACTATATTCACACTCATTTGTTCCTTTTGTAAAGAAAGTAAATATTCAGGAACAGTCCTATAATTATTTTTTGACCAATTCACTGCATTTCTCATTTCTACAGCACTGGAATTTCTGGATAACTAGGATTCCCCATATGGCATAAGATATTCTTGATGCACTGAAGTCAACCCACTTTAGCCATAGCTCCCAGAGCGGCTCAGCTGGAACTTTGTATGGGTTAAGTAAATGCTTGTCAAGCTGACCTGGATTAGAAAAACCTTATCCTGAGATAGCAAACATCAGCATCATGATGACAAGAATGTAGCTGGAAAAAGGGAACTATTATAAAGGATTTTTTTTTTTTACAATTTAAAAGTCCCAATAGTCTCATAAAGTGACCATTTATAGCAAGCAGTCAAACTCAACTTTCAAGAGTTATAAACTTCAATGGAAAGTTAGTATGTCACATTTCTAGAAAAGAATATAAATAAAACAACTTCCCCTGTAGGTCTTATACTATGATTCCTGAGGAAAGATTTCTCAAACTATAAAAAATGTTACTACATAATGCTAAGCCTAATGTATAAAAGAGCCCTTAATAGTTTCCAAACATTAACAAGTATGTCTTATACTGGCACAATGATACATGTACTATATCAGCTATTCCTGCAAATCATACTTTAAAAGTTACTGAAGTAATCTCAATTTTTGTAGATACAGTGATAGGATGACAAAAACATCCTTGGGTAAGAAATCTCCTACCACAACTTTAAAGTGTCTGACTATACCAATAAAAGCCATTAGTAAATAATTATTTGAGTAGAATTCAGAGTATGTTTATTATAATAAAGTTGGTATATTGGTTTTTGGTTCTCAAAAACACAGCAAACCAGGTACTTACTGGTGGCTCAGACCTGTAATCCTGGCTACTTAGGAGGTTGAGATATGAGAATCATTGTTTAAAGCTATTCTAGGCAAGAAAGTCTGTGAGACTCTATCTCCAATTAGACCCCAGAAAACTGAAAATGGAGCTGTGGCTCAAAAGTGGTAGAATGCTAGCCTTGAGCAGAAAAGCACCCAAACTCTGAGTTCCAAGGCCCATGACTGACCAAAAACAAAACAAAACAAAACACAGCAAAATCTCAAGGCAAATAATACCAACAGCAGTAATCATCAAAGGAAAATACTTTTAAGTGCTATTAAATTCACATGAAATATAAGTATTCAAGTTTTGACACCAAGAAAAGCCTACACCAAATTAAAGCTTTTTTCCTAGAAAATATTTTCTTATTAGAAATTCCCCAGATTTTTGTGAACAGATATCTCAAAAAGGCCAGAAATTCTGCTCAGGGTACTAAAATAAATTAAGAGCACAAAATTAGCTTCATACCACAGTCCTGCATTCATGGAACCTTTAAAGATATATCTAAGGTTTCTTTTTCTCCTCAACCCTTCTTTATAAGGAAATCATTTTGTCATATTTAAAAACAAAGAGATTCAGGTAGGCATTATTCCTTCACAATAGATGTGAACTACATGTTTAAAGCAGGACCACTTCCTTTTACATCACTAATATTATAATAATGACTAATTCATCTGATGAGTTTAAATTAGTAGGATGTCAGAGAAAAGAATTAAAAGAGAGTATAACAGAATCAAACTTTGCATACATCAATATTTTAATATAATTTTACTGGTATTATTAAGGTGTTACACAGAGGGGTTACCATTTCCCAATTCAGGTAATGTGTACATTTCTCTTTGGACAATGTTACCCCTTCTTTTACTTCCCCCGCATTTCCCACCCCTGTCCCTACCCACAAGTTGCATAGTTCATTTTCCACATAGTGTATACTGAATACCATTGCACTTGTTCATCCTTTCTCCCTCCCTTCCTGTGCCCCCTTTACTCTCTCTAAAAAGCAGAAGAAGAAAAAAAGCAAGCACAAATACCACCACCACCACAACCAACAACAACATAAATACCCATGCTTCTGTTTCCTGGCATACATTGGTTTCTACAACAATGTCTGAGTTAAGACACATTCATAGACAGTTGCCTTCATTCTTTTTTGGAACATACAATGTGTAAATAAGCAAATGGTGCTTAAGCTCTTTACTGTTCACTGGTGCAAACTTACAGACTGCTTTTTCCAGGTTTTAGTCAATGGCAATCGTTGTTGCTACTTCAGTGTTTTGCTATCTTTGATGAGGCTATGTTTATATACCAGTCTGTTGTAGAGCGGCAAATTTTATTTTTACATGTTAAGAATTATAACAACTTGTTTTTAAGTTATTGTTTCTCATAAATAAAATGTAAACAAAAACAAAACATTCATTTTCAATGTTTCTACTCCCCTTCACACTCACTGAATCATTACTATTTAAAAGTAAATACTGAAATGCAACTTACTACTTTGTCTTGTAAGATCAAGGTCAAGAACTAAATTAAAGCTTATTATAAAGTCCATAAATAGTTTTGAGTAGAAAACAAAACTTACCATTCAGAACATTCTCCAGTTTCTGTGTCATGGATCCTTCTACTTTTTCCGTTCCATCTGCTTCTAGCTTTTGATGGATGGCTAGGGGGGGAAAAATCATTAAAATGTAAGCTATTTAAATGAGTGAGAAGATATTACATCAAAATGACATTTTTTGAGCAGCTTTTTCATATATTTTTATTGCTGGAAAGAAACAAAAACACATGACATTGTGCAGAGTACCCAGCAAACACTACCTATAATATTGACAGTCTAGCACTTAAAAAAAAAATACCTTGTAATGTTCTTCATCTAGTCTTTAAGGCTGGATAGTAAAAAACAGTTGAATTTTTTTTTTAAAAAAAAAAAGAGACTTCAGACATCTGAGGTCTTATTATTACTAACTTTGATATTTAGGCACAGGAAATTCATTTTTATACTTCAGTTTTACAAAACAGAAATAGAAAAGAGAGATATCTGAAAAAATTCAATTTCAGCCTTAGAGTATAGGTCAGAAAAATATATATTATCTATATTCTATTCACCACAAAGCATTTTGTGGAATTTCAAAAAAATATCTAACAATATTTACCAACAGATCAACTCTAGATACATAAAATACACGGGAGCTTTTACTTTTGCTATTCTCTCATTCTGATAAAAATTCTTGACGGAAAACTTAATATTGCTTAATTAGAAGTTTGTAACTATTAAAGACAGGAGGTTTAAAACAACAAATAAAATTTATTTATATGAAGAATTAAGAAAAATTGCCAAATATAATTTCCAATCCAAAACTGTAATACTATAAAAATAATGAAATAAAAAACACAGCAAACATTAAACTATGACTATAAGCTAAACACTTTTTAACTCTTTAATGCATATCTGTCATCTTGCAAGAAGTGAATGATATAACTCTGTCATTTCTATTTTGCAGATAAAAAAATCATGACAAAATATTATGTAAGCTGACCAAGGTCACAAAGCCCAAGTCCAAATGTGAACTCTAGCAATCTGGTATCAGTACTTTTAATGTTGTTCCATGTAGCATGGACAAACAACTCATACTGCTTAAGCTACTGTTTTCACATCAGTAAAATGAGAACAATAAACTTCTATGGCAGTAGAAAATTAAATCCAGTTGCAAATAAAAGAGGTTTCCTCTCCTCAAAATCATAGCTGCTAAAACACCTTTGGATTTCTATTCTTCCACATAACTTGCTCTAATAAAATTTCACATTCGAGATGTTTAACTCAAATAATTAAGTTTTAAAAGAAATAACTATCAGTAAAATAACCATCAAAATTAAGTATTAATCTCTAAATTTCACATAGTGAGTTCAAACTCTTAAAACAAACTTACACATTCTAATTGATTCAAAGGGCAGATTCATGCTAAACAAACAAAACAGTCTGCTTCTACAAATGTGTGCATTTCTTTATTTCTCGTGACTTACTGATCAAAAACTTGAGTCAAATTCAGTGGTCAAATGAATTACAAATAAATTCTCAGTGTCTACAAAGATTTACTGTTCTGATCTGTTCATTGGTTTTTAATGCTAATCTTGTTTTTTTATTATTTTTTTCCTTATAGAACCACTCAAATTTAGTGATCATTTTGCAATGTGTATATATATATATATATATGTATGTATATGTATATATATACATATATATATATATACACATATACATGGAAACATCAACTTGTACATCTTATATATAGAATTATTGTTTTTATTTTACCTTAATAGCAAAATAGAAATAATAAATCTAGAGTAAAATTTATTTTATGTTAATAAACAAAATAAATTTATATTAATAAATCTAGAGTAAAAAGAAAAAGACTGTGTCTTCTATATATGTTTATCTGAATTGGGGAAGGGAAGGGGAATAACAAAAAGGTGAGACAAAGAACAAAGGGTGAACCAATGCAACATAGATATTCACAAGACTATATGATGGAAATGAACTTGACAACTTTGGGATAAGGAGAAGTGGCAGGGAGGAAAAGCGGGAGAAAAAACAAGGGAGGGGGTATCAATGTACTCATTACCTTACATATGGAATTGTAACCCCTCTGTGCATCACCTTGACAATAAAATTAAATTTAAAAAAGAAAAAAATCTAAAATAAACAGACTATTCTTTTGCTGAAGAAACATATTCATATAAAAATAAATAAATACATTTGGGAAAAAGGCCATTGTAATTCTAACTGTCTTGGTTGATTCAGAAGTACAGACAAAATTCATTTCTTTAATGTTTCAAATTTAAGTCATGTGGTAAAACATAAATTAATAAAAAATCATGTGGTAAAAGTGGCAGAATTATTTCACATATCAAAATATAAATTTACACTCAACTTATGAAGTTAAATGGAAAACAACTTCTCTATTGCATTTAGGAAAGGAGACTGTGCCTAAGGATTAAAAAGCTAAATGAGAATGACTTCTATAACACATGTGAACAAATCTGCTTATATTCTTTACTAAATACTGGCACATTATACTGTTTTATTGAGTGAGCACTGTATGTGGTCCATGTGGACTAGTAAGATACTATACGTTACATAGTCCTTCCTCAAATGTTATTTTCTAAGCCAAAATTAGCATTAAGGGAAATCATGCAGCCACATTTTCTGATGCTGACGTAACTCATCACTGATCAGCAGGTCAAAATGAGGTGACCCTAGTTGGCCCAGCTCAGTTTACAGCCCATTTTGCTGACAAAGCAACTTCCCCAGCCCATCTCTACCACAGCACCAGCCAATGTCAAGCTGTCAGCTAGGCATGAGGACTGAGAGACACTGTGATCTGATAAAGGCAATCCTATTTTCCAGAAAATTAAACCAAATAACCCAATGTCTGGTTCACTTGACCTTTTTATTTTCTCTGAAAATATTTTTAAATAGAATAACTCAATACGTAAAGTAGTACATGATCACAGGTTTGTTATCTTTTGTAATCTCTTAAAACTTAAATATGTGAAGCAGTTGAACATCCTAACTTCACATTTGCTAAACAAAAAAGGTATGTATAAAAGTACTACCAAAAAAAAAATCAGTTATATAAAGGTTGCCAAGTAATTCACTGGAATTTTCTCAACCTTTAACTCAACCCCTGTAAAATGTGGGTAACAAATTTTCAGTTTCAATTGAAAAAGAAATTCAAAAGTTCTATCTATGCATTTATACAGATGTTATTTTAAATGAGGCAGTAAGGGATGACATATGTACATGGTCAATGTCTACAAGGGTTCCATTTTATATACAGGATGTTTATATACATAGTCTCACTGTATATAACTACCAGCTGATGTAAGAGACTGCAAACAAGATCAGAGACTGTCAATCTACTCTTACAAAGAACCAAAGAGTAATTATTATATAATAATCTCTATTAAAAAGTCTCTATCACATATCCATCATCAGATTCTTTTTATTCCTCTCTTGTTTAGCAACCCTTGGAGATCATGTTTAAGCTCCTGGCCTAATTAAGCTTATAGCCTAATTTGGCTAGCAGTCCAGCATCTAACAGTTGTACTTATTAAGCAGATGAGAAAGCATTAAGTAAGCTACCTGAGACTTACAAAGAGCGTTTCAAACATTTAGTATCTATTTTTATCCTACCAAACATTTGTCAGTGTGTATCTTGGATGTTAAATGCCTCCCAAAGAAACATGTGTCTGTAACCTTTAAGAGGTGGGGCCTAGTGGGAGTAAGTTAAGCCACTGGGTTTGTATCCTTATCGGGATATTGTTACCTTTCTTGGCTTTTGGTGAGGAGGCCAGCTATTGGCTCTGCCATACTCCCCCACCATAATGTACTGCCTTATTAGAGGCCTACAGCAGATCCCCCAGAACATGGACTGTCCCATCTAGAATAGGGAGCCAAAATAAACGTTACCTCTTAAAATTCACTTATCTTAGTATTTTGCTTATAAGACTAAAAAGCTAACACAGAATGGCTAAACAATATACAAGTTATATTTAAACTTCATAAATCTATGGTTCTTTGATTCCTGGTTACTTGATGCATGAGATCAGAGGGCATTCAGGAAAATGGTGAATGAGACAAATGAGGCACCAAGGAGGCCAGAAAGCTTTCAACATTGTAAGTAGCTTCACAAATATTCCTGCAACCTGAGAATTGTGAGTTCAAGGTCAGCTTCAGTTACATATCAAGCCCTTTTTCTCAAAAAGAAAAAGAAGGAATTAAAAACAAAAAAAAAAAAAACTATAGATTAAAAAAAAAAACACTGGTAGAAGGGAAAAAAAACTCTGGTAGATAACATGCCAAACATACTTCTTGTCACATCCTAATTAAAATACTTGTGAGTATACACAGGGAAAAAACAAAACTAATACATACATAAAATTTTATAGATTGGGTACTGATTAAATAAGTAAATGGGATTGAGTTAAGAGACTTAGTGTGTCTGAGACAGTCTACTCTATCACATAGAACATGTGCAATATCCAGAATATACATGGTGATAAATTGATTTATACCCAATTTTGCTATCTGGGTAGCCCAAACCAGAAGCATGTTCATAACTTCAAAACATTTAACACTACAATTCTAATACCCTGCTTTTCTCAATTCCAGTAACTCCTTTTGTTTAGAGACCAATTCCCCCAAAATCAGCATGTCAGAAAACAGAAGGATATTATGAGAAAAAAAACTCATACTGGGCAGTTGACCAGCCTACTGAAAAGAAGAACAGGGGCTATGTATCATTCAAAGCAGAAAAATGTACAAATCGTTATGTCGAAAAACAAACTTTACAACTTTGGCTGTGTGGGGGGGGGAGGTGGGAGATGGGAAAGGGTGGGAAGGGGAAACAAAGGAGGAGGCAACAATGCTTGATAAAAAATGTACTCATTATCTTACCCATGTAATTGTAACCCCTCTGTACAGTATTTTCACAATAAAAAAAAAGCAGAAAGAAAGGTACATAATTTCTATACAAGATTTAGAGACAAGACATAAAATAACCTTAGGAATTGAAGATATTGACCTACAGATTCGCCAAGGCTGCAGAGTATAACATAAAGTAAATGACCAGTATATATTACAGAGGTATCTTCTTCTTTTCCTTCCTTCCTTCCTCCCAGGCTGCCTTCTTTTATTTAATTCCAGGATAAATAAACATTTATCTCAAGTAGTTAGGTGGATAAAAACAAGTAATTTACTTAAATGCAAGAGGTAAAACAATGAGGATCTTAACTTCAAATTAAATTCAGGAAAATGCACAGGAAATAAAGATGCATTATCACAATGTGATTTACAGGGTTTGGGCCTCAGCTTCAGCTTTCAAGAATCATAAGGGCTACTGACCATGTCTGTGGAATTTATTCCCATTAAAGGCTGGACACCAAGACTGACAATTTCCTCAATGAGCAGTTGACCACGTATGTTATCACACACTATTACCAGGAGAATTGTAACTCACTTAGAGACAAGAACTGAAAGCACAAGTGGAATTCTCCTGGACCCTGCCCAATATGTCTATTAATTTTGGCTCTGCATCTCCTCCCAATGATCAACCAGAAGCGATTAGTGAGCTCTGTGAGTCTTTCTAGCAAATTACCAAATCTGAAGGTAATCTTGAGGACTGCCTTTATCTTGTAATTACTACTATCATATAATAACAATAACATTATCAGAGTACAAGCAATCAAAAGTTACAAACTAAACACAGATTTTGCATACAAAGAAAAACTATCAAAATTTTAAAAAGACTTGTTTGTCCTATTTACTATTACCTAGATTTAAGAAACAGCTAACCAGGTATTGGTAACATATGAAACAAGTATCCTTGTTTCATCTTGTTTTTATCTGTGATGCTGAGAATGGAACCAAAGACCTTACACATAGGCAAAAGCTCTACTTCAGAGCTATACTACAAAAGCTCTGCTACAGAGGCTCCTCAGCCCTCTCCTTATCTTTGCTACAGTTACAGAAAATGGACATGTATTAAGAAAAATATTCTCAATAACATAATCAGAAACTAACCTCAAAAACAAAATCCCAGTACAAAGTATTAGGTCTCAGAGGAAAATTATAATGATAAATTGTTATTATTTATTTTTTGTGAGCCAGTCCTGGGGCTTGAACTCAAGGTCTGAGCACTGTCCCTGAGTTTTTGTGCTCAAAGCTAGCTAGCCACAGCTACACTTCCAGATTTGGGGGGGAGATTATTGGAATCTTTTCTGCCTGCTGGCTCTGAATCACGATCCTCAGACCTCAGCCTTCTGAGGAGCCACTAGCAGCTGGCAAAATGACAAATTTTAAAACACAAATATAGGTATAACTACTGAAGCAATATAAAAGGAAAAGAAAGTAGAATATATCTGTAAATTAAAAAGATCATGGAAAAGCCTGTAACATCAATTCAAAGAGATATTTTTAAAAAATGCTAATGCAATGATAATAATAATAAGGGGGAAATAAACCAAAATAAATAAAACATAGAAAGTAGAAGTTCTAAAAGTATAATCTACCAATTTCCAGTACCCAACCTAGCCAAGTTCTATGTCCACAAGAAAGAAACACTAATGATATGATAAAAAGAACACAATACTACCTGTGACCCAAGTACTAAAATTATCTCTTAGTTAATATGTAAGCAATATGACAAAGTAACATGACACAAGAAGGAACTAATCATTGTAATTCAACTAGGTTACTCTACAGGTAAATTGACCCTGTGTCTTCAATGGCATAGAATAGGAAAAAGGGTAGGAAAGATGAGAAGACTGCTATAAGATTTAAGATCAAATGAAATATCTGAACTTGGGTTGAGTTGATCTGAACAAATTGCTATAATAACAAAGTTTGTAAGTCAGTGAGTACATGTGCATATGAATGAGAATGAGGTGATATTGAAGAATTACTGCTAACTTTGCTAGCTACTTCAATAGTTGGGGAATTCATGCAAAGACATATAGGGAAGCAAAATCATACAAAAAAATAACTGTGAAATATTGGATGACTTTCACCAAGTTTGAAATTTTTCATATTTACCACTTCTAAAATTTTTCATAATAGGAAAGTAAAGCAAATTACTTAAACAATTTTAAGTATCAGCTCTTTCAACTTCTGAGCAGACAATAGGTCACATTTGTAGAATTAGACACATATGTAAGAAGCAATAGCAGTAAAAAGATTTTAAGATTTAATTTCTTATCAACCTCAGATTGAGCATTATAGGGAGGTTAAAAAAAAGTCTCTGATTTCACATATGTAAGATGGGTCAACAAAGCCTCAGAGACAAATATTTAAAGTACTAGGCCTTCAAAGAGATTCCAGCCTACTCTGCAACAAATATTTATGGTACATTTTAGATCTCTACTTTTATAAATACAGACTGAATGTCACACCCCGTAAACATGCGGCAAGCACGGTGTCAAGTTTCCATGGTAGGGGCTCTTAGCACATGGCTCTGGGGATCATCTTACCTGAGAGGGCATCTTGTGCCTCAAAGAATGTACTGAGGCCACCCTTCACATAGGCCAGACTGCCCTCACTCTTCTTGCTGGCCTGCTTTTTGAGGTTGGTGACTGCCATTTTGAGCTGCTCAAAACTGCAATGAAATTTAAAAAAAAAAAACAAATGATTCAGATTCCTAACAAGCAAAAAATAAAAAGAGAGAAGTAAGATAACTCAATAAGTGTACAATATTAAAATTGGTAAAAATCTATGTGAAGAAGCCTACCTATAGACTGATATGTTATAATCATTATAATCATATGAAAACAAAAACTTTTCAATTCTAATCTAGATATAACCTTGTAAGACTGAAATGCTTAAATTAGGATAGCTATAGTAAGAACTCTGTAGCTCTCAACTGGCAATTCAAATACATCAGACCCTTAACAACTAAGTGGATTTTTTTTGGGGGGGGGAGGTCAGACAGGGGGCTTAAACTCTGGGCCTGGGCGCTGTCCCTCAGCTCTTCAGCTCAAGGCTAGCGCCCTACCAATAGAGCCACAGCACCACTTCCAGCTTTTTCTGCTTATGTGGTGCTGAGGAATCGAACCCAGGGCCTCATGCATGCAAGGCAAGCATTCTACCACTGAGCCACCTTCTCAGCCTGATATTATACACGATACACAGAATTTGTGAGATAAAGGATTTGAATATCCTCAACCTGATAGAAACACATAGTTTGTCCAGTGTTGGGCAATATTTCAAAGACAGGACTTCTGGGCTGGGAAGATGGCTCAGTGGTAGAGTGCTTGCCTTGCATGCCTGAGGCCCTGGGTTCCATTCCTCAGCACCACATAAGCAAAATGAAAAAAGCCGGAAGTGGCGCTGTGGCTCAAGTGGTAGAGCACTAGCCTTGAGCTGAAGAGCTGAGGGACAGTGCCCAG